ACAACCCACGCGCAGATGTGCCAGTGCGGGGTGCCACGGCCCTGGCACTCGGTCTTCATACACCACTCGTAAACGATGAAGTACCTGGACACTGTTCTTTATGTAAGCACACTGTGGTGACATGATACATATGGTACATGATGCGTCTGATACACATGAGACAAACTCGCAGAAGAGTTGGTCACATTTTTGGGGCAGTTTGTGGAGCACATCCAGTTGTTATATGTGATACATGGGGTACAGGATACATATGACATGAGACAAACTCGCAAAACAATTCCTGGATTTGTGTTACACAAGAAACGAACCTGTGGCCCCAGCGGTTCGCCAAGAACAACCAGATACAGCGAACCAGGAAGTACATATGGAGTGACATCATATAGGCACCAGCAAAAATACAGCGAAGATACGGCTCCATGAAATACGGCCTCGGGAACTTCCACTCCGCGGGCGCGATGGTGATAAACAAATTCGGAAACGCGCACAGCCATACCTGTCCCCGGAGATTGCGGCAGCGTTGATACAGGGCCTCATAATTCTTCTCGTCGTAGCAGCGCACGAGCATGATACGCACCAGATCAGCGAGGGAGTCTTGCACAATCTCCCAATACCCCGTAGAGGCCTGCGAATCTCGAGTCATAACGCCCCCCGTGACGCCGAGGCTCTCGGCACGAACTTGCGCATTGAAATACTTATTCGCCAGATGCTTCTCGTACAGGAAAAACGGCAGATCCCGCTGCTCGCCATATACACGGGCACTGGACAGCACCTTCCGAGTCCAAGACAGGCCGATGGATACCACCCGATTCGTGCTATCCTGGGTCTGGGCATCGTAGTGCTCCATAATACCCGTATCAGCGAAGTCCGTAGTCGGATACAAGACGGGATACATGGCACACTCGATACCTTTCATGACAACAAAGAGGTCGTAGGAGGACAGATTTAAGGAGCTGCGGTTCTCGATGCGGATCCTGTGGGAGTCAAAAAGCTACTGTAATACCTGTTATGCGCCCCCAGAAAATGAATAGCGTTTGTGTTGATGTGATTTTTGTTGCTGGCGTGTTTTTTTTGGGGGGGGATGGGTTGGGGGAGGGCGGGTTCGGGGCGACCGGGGTGGGTTTGGGGAGGGGTGGGTTGGGGGAGGGGTGGGTTGAGGGAGGGTGGGCTGTTTTCTTTGGGGAGGGGTGGGTCGGGGGCGACCGCGGCGCCCCTGCTCGCGCGGATCCTCTGCTCCGTCAGAAAGCTGCGGTAATACTTGCTGTGCTCCATCAAAAAATGAAATGCAGCCTTGCACCGATCGGTAGGCATACTCGCTTCGCAGACCAGGTCCTTCTTGAAGTACGCGCGCGAGAGACCCACCTTCTTCCAGTTGAACTGGTGCGCAGCGCCATACCTCTCTTGCTGCACGGAGGTCCTCAAGACGACGATGCTCAGAGCACGACATTCGTCGAGGGTCATCTCGTGCATGCAGGGCCCAGTGCTGTGGTCCAGCGAAAACTGCCGAAACGAATATCGAGGCCAGGTGATACACTCCTTTGCCTCGTAGCCCGACTTCGTCGCCAAGGGGGCCCTATACAGCTCCGACGTCTTTGCAACCTTGAGGGCCTGCCCATGGTTCTGCATACGGCGGTTGAACTTCTCGAGAGGAGTCTCTTTACCAGAACAGCAAGGGCAGCTGGCAACCACTGGCGTGCACATGCCTGGCTTATACCACCATCTCGAAGATATACCAACTTGGCCACAGGCGTGCACCACCGGGTCCTGCGGTACTTGCCGACGATACGCCGCCAGCATGTCTGGTTGTTCCGACGTGCTACGATCCTGATATACACGGTTCGAGAAATACTCGTCATTGAAGAAGAACGAACCGCAGGCCTCGCAAGCGGACCAACTCCCGTAGCACACCCAAAACGCAAAATCTGTCAGATTATACTGCTTCTTGTAGGTGGCTTGGATACTGGTGAGTAATGACATGGACCAAGACTGTCGCTGAAATACCTCCTGGCACTTTAACATGGCATACGCAGCAATAAGACAAGCGTCCGCCGCCATGTTCGGGAATACTATGCAACCGTCAGCTGTCGCCACGCTGCAAGCTCTCGCATACCAGCCTTGCTCTTGGTCGGAGACACACGCGTGCGCAGTCCTCGGCAGCACCTGGCCCAGGAAGGTCCTCTCGTAGGCCTCCACCACAGGACCTGGCAGCGCATCCTTGTATACGAAGGCATCTGGATACTCGAGTGCCAACTTGGCATGCCGTTCGTGGCCACCAAAAAATAGCGATAGATTCTGCAAAGGCACCAACTCTTCCGCCACGCCCAAGCGCTGACATAAAGATACACGCACAGCCTCCAAACCAGGTCTAGCCCGGGCGCGACAGCCAACCGCCCAGGCGCGGCCGAGCTTGCTATCCAGAGAAACCAAGGAATACAAGAACTCCCACTCCTGTTGCTCTAGGTGCTCGCTGGTCCAGTATTCGCCACGTTGCTCGCGATAGCGACGATACGCTACGAGCCGCTGCGTGGTCCTGCAATCCACGAGACACTGCGCCAATAACTGCTTTTTCACCTCCTCGGCCGAGACACCCTTCTGCAGCTGCTCCAGGACATACTCCCCGCATACGTGGCTGTGTATCTCCTCAGCATTCTCCAGTATTGCCAGCTGCTGGGAGGGCGCCTTCAGCCACCTCTCCAGGGCTTCCCAATGTGCAAATACCCCGGTCTCCGCGCGATACTTGCCCACCAGCGCTCGCCCCCTCAAGCCTTCTACGTGATACCAGTACTGGAGGTCCCTGCGCGACAACGCGTAGACGGCGCAATTGCCATGTTTGGCACCGTCTCCGAGTCGATACTTGCCGAGCCACTCTCGCAAGGCATGCGGACCCGCCTCATACCCCCAGGCCTTCAGACGCACCTGCATATTCTGGTAAGTGAGGCCAAGGCCCAAGTCGGAGACCTGCTCTCGATACCGCTTGCCGCATGCCGCCTCTACAGCATCCCCCGTCAGCAGCTTTATACAAACCACATCTGTGGAGGAAGAAGCTGCCGTGGCCTGCTGCTTCGATACGGGCTCCTCCCAGTCGACCGCGGCAGGCCGTTTGGCCACGCGGGCAAATCCGGCGGCGGCTGGCCGTTTCAATACCCCGCCTGCGACCTGCGCCGCCGGGCGCTTCAATACACGCCTGGTGACGGACTGGGCGGATGAAGCCGCCGCCTGCACTGAGGAGCTCACCGACGCATACACATCGCACCACTGTCTCAACACTCCTCGGGACACCAAGACAGCTTTCCGTCGCATACGCAACAGGGCATGCAACGTGTGGTACTTCAGCCCTGGATATACCGCGCGCATGTGGTCACCAAGTGCCGCGTCGAGCTTTTCAGCCGTGTCATACTGCAAAGGTCCAGAGTCAGGGTGATACTTCACGTACCATTGCCTCAAAACCATACCGCTGACAGCGACGGGAGGATCGCTCTCCGAGAGAATCTGCGAGAGGACCTCCGCGGCGGCCTCGTCGGCGAAGCTCTCCCGATACTGATTGAGTCGAAGACGCTGGCCTATACATTCCTCCACAGCTTGGGCAGTATTCAATGCTCCCTTGGCGCCCCACTCCGTGCTGAGCCACTTCTGGCATACCCTGGCGTCAGCAGATACAGATAAATGTCCCAGGAGCCACTGCTTCAAGACGGCCCCGTCAGTAGTCCCCTCGGGCAGTCTGTGCGAATACGTTCTCCATACCAGGTCTCCAGATGGCCAGCGTTCTGCACTTTGACAAGCGTCTCTTTGGAAGAATACTGCAGTAGCCACGTCGTTGCGACCTTATCTGACACATACAGTGGTGGTTCCAACTGTCGGAGCGCCCCGCATAATTTGAAAGCTGTATTATACTGGATGCCCAGGTGGCGGATGGCAGAGCCGTGCTGCTCCTCCAGCTCCTTGGCGCTAGAAATACTGACCGTGCCAGGCACAACCCGATACTTGCACCACCAAAGCTTGCACGCCTGGTGACTGACCTGGATACCCTTTGCAACGAGCGCCTGATGCAAATAATACGGGCTGCCGCAGTCGGCCAAAGGAGGCCGCGCCAGCTCTGGGCCATACTGCTCGTCAAGGACTTTCGCCGACAAAGCCATGACCCATCCAAGAACACAGGCGATACCTTGATCCGAGATGGCTACGGATGTGACAGTGATCAGTGATTTTGTTCGATGACGTGGTGACACACGGACTTGTTGTGGTAATATGCCGACGACGATTTTCGAGGTCCCACGGTGCGATTCGTATGATTTTATGTTGCGCGGTGCTAAAAGTCCTACGAAACCCAATGGTTTTTGAAGATTTCGGCGTGCGCGCGCAAAGAAAAAACGAATGTGTCCCGCATGGTTTTATTTGACAGGGATGATGACCCTGGCAGGTGCGCAACGGTTGTTGGAGAAGTTCGAAGCACGTGAAAAAGTTGCTCGGAAAAGCCCATTTGACAGAAATGTTTAAAAAGTGTTGGGTTTCCGACAAATCCGCAAGAGCGCGCGGGATGAAATTTTGACACTTTTTTTTGAAAAACCATTGGTGTTTTGATGTTTTTATGTTGAAATCGCTACGAACACTAAGGTTTTGGAAGGATTGCGTCTTGCGCGCGCGAATGTCCACTTTACCTTATTTTTTGCAAGGGATTCTTGAAGTTTGGTTATGTTAGAACAAGAAATGTCCACTTTAGCTTATTTTTTGCAAGGGAAGACGGGGGACAACAAAACAACCGGATCTGGATGACATCGTTTTACCTGAGACTTCCTCACGAAAATGATGAAAATGAGGCTGCGGTCTAGGCACGGCGGGGGGGGCGTGCACCAGGGGGCCCAACAATAATTATTCTTTAGAATTAATAATGTTCAACAACAACAACAACAACAACGGAGGCGGCGGCGGCGACGACGACGACGACGGTGGCGACGACGGCGGCGGTGGCATCGACCGACTGCAACGCAGCTACGATGACAACACTCCTCGTCTGTCGCAGCCAGGTGCTTCTCCGCGTTGCCCGTGACGGCCTCGCCGTGGATGAACGAGGGGCATCCTCCTCGACAGTCCTCCTCGGATCTCCTCGGTGCTCTTCGATTCTCGACCAGAAGGAGGCTCTCCTTCATTCCTGTCGCTTATGAATGACTCCTCCCTGTCGCACCCCGAGGCCAGTGGGAAGGGCGGGCCAGGCGTTTCGCCTGAGACTTCCTTGATCCTGCCGCGTACGAATTCGCAACAGCTTCAAGGATGGAGGGCGGGTCCCTTGCAAAATGTGGCTCTGGCCTTAGCTCCTGGCAAACCCGTCTTCATAATTTACAGCAGTCTGACAGATTGAAGCGAAGTGGTGTTCAACATGTGGCTCTCGCCTTAGCGCCGCGCACACACGTCTTCATTATATGCAAAAAGAGTTTGACGGATTGAAGCCAGGTGGTTTTCAAAATGTGCCTCTCGCCTTAGCGCCGCGCAAATGCGACTTTAAAACTGTTAGAGCTTCACGGATGGAGGGTGGGTCGCTTTCAAAATGTGGCTCTCCACTAAGCGCCACGCAACTGCGTCTTAAAAAGTGTTAGAGCTTCACGGCTGGAGGGCGGATCGCTGTCACAGTGTGACCCTCGCCTCAGCCCCGCGCACATGCTTCATGACAAGTAGCAGCAGCTTCGCGGATGGGGGGGGAGTCCTTTTCAAAACGTGGCTCTCGTGCTAGCGCTGCGCACACTCGTGCGAAGAGGGTACGGAAGTCCCAAGGCATCTCACGGCTAAAGTCCCCGGAAGGGTGTCGTGGCACGACTTCGGACTGAGAAGGCGCGCCAGTTATGTCGATTCGCGGCGTCGAAGTCCCAGGAATCGCGTCCTGGCAGGATTCAAGACCGTCACGACGCAACAGTAGCAGTGATCTGCGGCGTTTATGTCCCCAGAATGGTGTCCTGGCACAGTTCTGAATTTTCACGCGCTTGTTTTCCAGCGGGGCACGTCCTTCAGTGAACACGAACCCTTGTAGGGGCCTGTGTAGCGGGAGCTCGGAGGAAGGGTTGATTGCAATGTCGTTGATGCGTCTTGGATTAAAATACCCTGGTCCTCCTCCTCCTCCAGCCTCCTCCTCCTCCTCCTCCTCCTCCTCATCCTCCTCCTCCTCGGCCATTCTGGATCCTCCTGGATCATCTTCCTCCTCCGCCTCCTCTTCCTCCTCCTCCTTCTTCTCCGCCTCCTCCGCCTCTTCCTCCTCCGCCTCCTCTTCCTCATCCTCCTTCTCCTCCTCCTCCTCCTCCGCCTCCTCTTCCTCCTTCTCCTCCTTCTCCGGCTCCTCCGCCTCCTCAGGCTCCTGCTCACCGCCATTTCTCCTCCCTCCTCACCCTCCCCTGAGGGCAACATTAGGGGGGGCGAGCTCGGGGGGAGCATCGACCCGGAATCGGTGATGCGTCGCCGATGGGTCGGCGATAGGCCCCCGATCGCAGATCCGCACTTTCCTGGGCGCGCTGGGCTCGCTGGCCCATATAGGCGATCAATGTGCGAGCAAAGGTCGAGTCCTCGCCCCCCTGCGCCTATCTCACCATAACGCAACCCGTGATCCTCATCCCTCCTCCTCCTCCTCCTGCTCGTCTTCCTGCTACTCCTCCCCCTCCTCTTCCTCCTCCTCCTCCTCCTCCTCTTTTTCTTCCTCCTCCTTCTCCTCCGCCTCCTCCTCATCTGATCAGTATGATTACGAGTATTAGCATTACTCTTATTATTATTAATGCTATTATTCTTAGTATGTGTATTCTCATTCGTATCATTGATACATTTATTATTACTACTCCCCCTCTTCCTCCTCCTTCTCCTCCTCCTCCTGCAGCTCCTCCTCCTCCTCCTCCTCCTCCCCTCCTCCCTCCTCCTCCTCCTCCTCCTCCTCCTCCTCCTCCACCTCCTTTTCCTTACAAATAACTTCTCCCTGTCGCACCCCGAAACCAGTGTTTAGGGCGGGCAGGGCGTTTCGCCTAAGACTTCCTCAATATTTATGAAATATGAAGCTTGTAGTGTGGCAACAGTTTAACAGATGGAGGGCGGGTCGTTTTCAATATGTGCCTCTCGCCTTAGCGCCGCGCACATTCGCTTTAAACAGCTGCAAGAGCTTCACGGATTGAGGGCGAATCGTTTTCAAAGTGTGGCGCTCGCCCTAGCGCCGCGCACATTCGCTTTGAAAAACTGTTAGGTTGTAAGAGTCTCACGGATCGAGGGCGCTTCATTTCCAAAATGTGGCTCTCGCCTTAGCGCCGCGCACATTCGTCTATAAAGCTTGCAAGAGCTTCACGGATTCCCACAATCAACGTACCAGAAATGGCGTGTTGGAAGGATTCAAGATTATGCGGGCGCAACAATTACGTTGATTCGCGGTGTTAAGTCTCCGGAGTGACTTTCTGAAACGATTCTGGGTTGTCAAAACGCACGTGGCGTTGGAATCCGGAGAACAATGTTTTGCCATGCTTCAGAGTCTTCAAACGGTTGTCTTACAACGAGGCAGTTCCCTAAATGGAAATGAACGGTTGTAGGGGCCTATGAAGAGGGAGCTTGGAGGACGGATGTATTCCAACATCGTTGATGACTCTTGGGTTTACACTGGTCCTCCTCCTCCTTCTCCTCCTCCTCCTTCTCATCTTCCGCCCTCCCCCTTCTCCCCCTCCTCCTCCTCAGGCCGAATTCTTTAGTTATCTGCCGGGGAACTCTGGAGGCCTCTGGGCGCAAAAGACGGGAAGGAGAAGAGAAAGGCGGGGGTGAGGCGAAGAGAGAGGTGGGGGTGAGGCGAAGGCAGCACGAGGACACACGCCTGGCCAAAAAACAGTTCGGGGACCTCTGAGAGCTCCGAGAGCCCGCGGGTCTCGTAGACGAGTGTCGGGCGCCGCGGCCGCTTCGGAGCGCCCCAGGACGCGCTGAGAGCGCTCCGCAGCTCCTCCTCCTCCTCCTCCTCCTCCTCCTCCTCCACCTCCTCCTCCTCCTCCTCCTCCTCCTCCTCCTCCTCCTCCTCCTCCTCCTCACCTTAGGCCCGCCTGAGCGGGGGAGGTCAGCGGCCCCCTCGCGGGGACTCCACCAGCGGGCACTCTGGCCTGGGACCCACGAGGGCACCACGGGGTCCCAAAGAGGACCCCAGCTGAGGGCCCCCACGAGGCCCCAAGAGGCAAGAGCATCGAGGCCTCTGGCCCATAAACCAGGCGCGGTGGCGGGGTGGGCCGAAGGCCACTAGATCCGCGGCCCCCTCCAGCTTGCCACACGGGTGCACGGCGTGCCAAACTTCTCACTGGTTGCGATTATGTTGAAGCTTCTCTGTGGGTACTCGGCCGAGCGCGCCGACCACCCGAAATGCCAGGTCGGCAAGGATTTAGCTCGTTCCAGGTGGCTCGACAAGGGCCCAATATTGCCTCCAAGACGGCTCAGAGGACCTCCAAGACGGCCAAGATGGCCAAAAGATGGCTTCCAAGACGGCCCCAAGACACCTCCAGGACGGCCAAAATGGCCCCAAGACAGCCCAAAGCTCCGAGACGGCCCCCGAAGGCCAAAAGGTCCCTTGGAGGCCCCCAAGAAGGCCCTCACGGGCCCCGAAGAGGCTCCCAGGAAACCCCTGGGAGGCCTCAAGAGAGCCTCAACAGGCCTCTTCTTCCTCCTTCTCCTCCTCCTCCTCCTTCTCCTCCTCCTCCTCAGACACTGAGGCACTGAAGGCGATAGAATCCGAACGCCGCCCCCCCCACCCCCCCAGAGCCAGTCAGCCCTGCAAGGCGACAAAAGACAAAGGGGAGGAAGAGAGAGGAAAGGAGGAACATGAACCTCAATGGTAACCTCGGGAGGAAGGAAATGGAGGGAATGTGTGTGACAGACGGTAGCTGGTGAGGCGCGTGGCGGCGGCAAGATAATTCCGCGGGACCACGTTGGGTGCCGCTTGCTTGGTGGGCGGGGCTGCGGGCTGGTGCGCGGCGCCACTCTCGCAAAAGGGAAAAGCACAAAAGCTTCCCCTGCACATAGGAAATCGGGGATCTCCTGACCCGGGTCAACCCAGACCCGGGCCAGTCAGGCCTTGCAAAATCCTGCAAGATCCTGCAAAATCCTGCACCCAAATCCGGGGTCAGCGCGAAGGATCCTGCAGGATCCTGCAGGATCCTGCACCCGAGCCCGGGTCACTGCCACCCTGGCCTCTGCATCGGGCGCCCTGGCTGACCCTCGTTTGCAGCGACCCCCGTCTCAAGGCTCCCGGAAGGAAACCCCTACACACGTCCGCCGGCCCCGCGATCGGCACTCTCGCTTGCCAGGCAGGCGCAGGGCACCCGGACCCGCGAGGCTGCGGGCCTCGTCGGGGGGGGGGGCCAATCAAAAAGGTTGCACAACTCATCGGTTCCCAATCCTAGCCCATCAAAGGCTGCACAAGTTCGGAAACCGACCCCGACTCGAGACAACGACAAGGCTGCACAACTCATCGGTTCCCAATCAGAAAGGTTGCACAACATCGGTTCCCATTCAATAGAGGCTGCACAAGTTCGGAAACCGACCCCAACCCGAGAAAAGGAAAAAGGTTGCACAACTCATCGGTTCCCAATCAAAAAGGCTGCACAACTCACAGGTTCCCCATCAAAAAGGCTGCACGAGTTCGGAAACCGACCCCAACCCGAGAAACGAAAAAGGGTTGCACAACTCATCGGTTCCCAACCAAAAAGGTTGCACAACTCATCGGTTCCCAATCCTAGCTTATCAACAAGGCTGCACAAGTTCGGAAGCCGACCCCAACCCGAGAAAACGAAAAAGGCAACACAATTCATCGCTTCCGAATCAAAATGGTTGCACAACTCATCGCTTCCCAATCCAAAAGGCCGCACGAATTCGGAAACCCCAACCTCAAAAAACGAAAAAGGTTGCACAACTCATCGGCTCCCAATCAAAAAAGGCTGCACAACTCACCGGTTCCCAATCAAACAGGCTGCACGAATTCGGAAACCGACCCCTTCCCGAGAAAACGAAAAAGGTTGCACAACTCGTTGTTTCCCAAACAAAAGGTTGCACAATTCTTCGGTTCCCATTCAAGGCTGCACAAGTTCGGAAACCGACAACGAGAAAAGTTGCACAACTCTTCGGTTCCCAATCAAGAAGGTTGCACAACTCATCGGATCCCAATCGAAAAAGCTGCCCATGTTCGGAAACGGAGCCGACCCGAGAAAACGAAACAAGTTGCACAACTCATCGGTGCCCGATCAAAATGGTTGCACAACTCATCGGTTCCCAATCAGAAAAGCTGCAAAAATTCGAAAACCTACCCCAAACCGAGAAAACAGAAAAAAATACACATATCATCGGTTCCCACTCAAAAAGGTTGCACAACTCATCGGTTCCCATTCAAAAAAAACTGCACCAATTCGGAAACCGACCCAAAACCGAGAAAACGGACAAAACATGCACATCTCATCGGTTCCCAAACAAAAGGTTGCACAACTGATCGGTTCCCAATCAAAAAAAAAGCTGCACCAATTCGGAAACTGACCCCAAACCGAGAAAACGGAAAAGGTTGCACAACTCATCGGGTGCCAACCAAAATGGTTGCACAACTCATCGGTTCCCAATCAGAAAAGCTGCAAAAATTCGAAAACCTACCCCAAACCGAGAAAACAGAAAAAAATACACATATCATCGGTTCCCACTCAAAAAGGTTGCACAACTCATCGGTTCCCATTCAAAAAAAACTGCACCAATTCGGAAACCGACCCAAAACCGAGAAAACGGACAAAACATGCACATCTCATCGGTTCCCAAACAAAAGGTTGCACAACTGATCGGTTCCCAATCAAAAAAAAAGCTGCACCAATTCGGAAACTGACCCCAAACCGAGAAAACGGAAAAGGTTGCACAACTCATCGGGTGCCAACCAAAATGGTTGCACAACTCATAAAAAGGCTGCACAAGTTCGGAAATCGACCCCAACCCGAGAAAACAAAAAAAAGTTGCACGACTCATCGGTTCCCAAGCATACAGGTTGCACAACTCACTGGTTCCCAATCAAAAAGGCTGCAAACATTCGGAAACCGACCCCAGTCCGAGAAATCGGAAAAGTTGCACAACCCATCGGTTCCCAGTCAAAAAGGTTGCACAACTCATCGGTCCCCAATCAAAAAGGCTGCCCAAATTCGGAAACCGACCCTAACCCGAGAAAACGAAGAAGGCTGCACGACTCATCGGTTCCCAATCAAAAAAAGGTTGCACAACTCATCGGCTCCCAATCAGAAAGGCTGCGCAAGTTCGCAAATCGACCACAACCCGAGAAAACGAAAGAAGATTGCACAACTCGTCGGTTCCCAATCAAAAGAATTGTACAACTCATCGGTCCCCAATCAAAAAGGCTGCTCAAGTCGTCGGATCTCCACCCAAAAGGTTGCACAAATTCGACAACCGAGCCCTATCCCGACAACCGTGGTGGTGCCCGTGACACCATGGACGGTTGAACTCATTGGCATGTATAAGTTCTCACTTCCAACGCCTGGAACCTAAGTCTAAGTTCATAAAGTTGGACCTTGTGTTAACAACCCAGTTCCTCCTCCTCCTCCTCCTCTTCCTCCCCCTCCTCTCAAGTATTGGGGGTCAAGTGTTTCTTTTGGCCTCCTTCCCCTGTGCCTCAGCGCGGCACTTGAGAGACTAGATTCGGGCGCTACCCACCATACATTGATTGCGCTCAATCTCGACCAAAGCAGGGGAGAAAGCAATGGCGCGGGGCCCATCGGTCCCCAGGGGCCGCGGGCGAGGACCATGGAGCAGATGTCCAGACTGCGGGTTTTGCGAGTACAGTGCCGAGCTGGCCAAGGCAGGATGCACTCGTCGAGGCTGCGGCTCAAGAGTTCCTCTGTACAAGGCGCGCTCGTCGTCGGCGGAGAGGAAGGTCTCCTTCGATTTGACGGGCGACGAGGACGAGCTGGTGACTCCTCGAGGAACCAGGGGGGCGGACGGCAAAGGCCGCAACGACGCCAAGAGCTGGCGGCGTGGCGGCGCAGGTCAGGACGTGGCCGCCCTCCGGAAGCAGGCTCTCCAGGCGACAGAGGACCAGGGTTCATCAGGTACCTGCGCAAGCAGGTGAAAAAGTTCGCAGCGGAGGCGACGAAGCCCAAGGACGAACCATCCCTTGTTGAGGCGCTGCGTCGAGCAGAAGGAGCATGCAAAGACGCAGAGCATCGTTGCTCGCGGCAGGTTGCACATGTGGTTCGGCTGAGGAGACAGCTGGAGGTGGCTGAGGATAAGGAGGCGAAGGCGGCGCGGGCGGTGGTCGAGGCCGCGCTGGCCCGCAAGGCCGCCGCGCAGGCTGCGGCACACACCGAGGGCGCCCATGCCGCGCCCGCCGCCCAGCCCGACTCCTCAGCATCGACGCCAATGTTTCACGTCAGCTGGGAACAAGAGCTCTTCGATGAAATCGACGGCATGGAGTGAGAGGAGCATGAGAAGGAAGTGCTGAGGGGCATCAAGAAGAATCTTGAGGCCACGCAAGGCGCCATGGCCTCGAAGGAGGCCGAGGTCAAGGCGTGGCTGGAGCTGATGGAGTCCGTCAGGCGCGACATCGAGCAGAGGCTCGCCAAGAAGAGGCGAGGGATCGACGGCCAGGCTGTCGCTGGCGGAGGGGGCGCCGAGGCCGCGCAGCAGCCGCAGGCGGCAGCAGGGGGTTCCCCAGGCGCCGCCGCCAGCGGCGACGCGGCGGCGGCAGGCAGCGGCGCCGGCACACCCGACGCAGCAACCCAGGCGGCCAGGGAGCAAAAAATCGCATAGGAAGCGAAGAAGCTCTCGGAGGCCAAGTTCCTGGCGGAGACGCAGAAGCAGAAGGACATGAGCAGTGGCAAGGGCGGCAAGGGCTACGCTTCCCAAGCAGACGGCGCGAGCTCTCGACTATCTGGAGCTGCGCCGATGGCGAGCACGCCGCCCGATGAGGCAGAGGGGGGGGCAGCATAGCCGCTGGTCCTATGCCAATGTCACTTGCTTGGGGGGAGAAGTGTTGGAACTGGCTTATGTGTCAGTCGTTCGACTTCATTAGTATCGTTGAGTCCCACATCCACGATGACGGGGCTCTGCGTAAGTATGACGCCAAGGCTCGGGGCAAGGGCCTTCGCTCGTTCACCAATCCAGCGAGACCGTCTTCGAAAACGAGAGCTGCAGTCGGCACCAAGAGGGAGGTGTTGATGGAGTACTCGAACGAGGGCGGTGAGTGGTTCATGTCCAAGGGGCACTTGCAGCCCCACCGCCCCCCCTGCTGCCAGGTTAGCTGGGAGCAGACTGCACGCGCCTCACCATTCTAATTGTCTCGATGGTTTTCTTGCCATAGTTGTACATTTCTCAGGTTTCAGCGTGGTAATGATTAGCTTTTACGCACACAGCTGTACAGGGCTCACTGGAGCCAACGTCGGCAGGTTTCAGAGGCTAGCAGGGCTTTTGTGGTCTCTTCAACTCCCCTGTATAGTTGCAGGAGATTTCAACATGGAGCAGCGCCAGCTTGAGAAGTCAGGCATCGTTCGTCGGTTGCAAGCCGTGGCGTTGCAGGCAAAAGTGGCAGCCACATGTAATCTTGGCTCGGGTACAGTGATTGATTATCTTCTGTGCAGCCAGCCCGCAGTGCCATTTATCGCCGGCATCCGTCCTGTCATCTCTGTGCCCTGGAAGCCGCATGTAGGACTCGAGATTCTCATGCGTCGATCGGGGGAACAGCTCCTGACGAGAATTCAAGAGGCCCTAGGTCGGCCCTCCACAGGTCCCACGACCACGTAAGGAAGCCACCGCGGGGTCTAAGTCTAGTCTTGCGAAAGCTACGCGCAAGGTACAGCGCCAGCTCGCTCTCGAAAAGCGGGCTGCCCAGTTTTCTGCCTTGTTTGAGGGGCGCTGTCAGTTTGAGCAATCTGTTGCGAACCCCGAGGGCGATGGAGCCTCAGGGATTGGGGAGCTAGATACTGAGCCTGTCAAGTTTGATGAGTGGCCCGAGGAAGAAGATCCATGGGCTGAGGAGCTGTCGTTCTGTCCCGACCCCCCCCTCCTCCCCGCTCTCGCTGCGCACCTTTTGGGCACCAAGTGGCTCCAAACATGGCCCTGGCCCCTTTAGGGCCCTTTTCTTCACCCCCCATTTGGGCCACCCCCCAATTGAACCCGCCCGACAGGGCACATTCCTCAACCAGAGCACCGACCGTGTCGGTACCCATGCCTCCTCTCAGCCACACTGGGGATCTGCCCGAGCCCCCGCCCCCATCAGCGGAGGCCTCGCTGGAGATGATCTCAATAGCCTTCTGGATGGCCTCCAGCTCCTCCGCTCGCAGCGTCTGCCGCGACTCGAAGGAGGTCGCCTCCCGCGGGCGGAGTTGCCAGGTCGACGACGACGACGACGACAACGACGACGACACGACGACGACGACGACGACAACGACGACGACGACGACAACGACGAGAACGACGACGACGACGACGACGACGACGACGACGACGACGACGACGACGACGGCGGCGGCGGCGGCGGCGGCGACGGTAATGGCGGCGGCTGCTGCGGCAGTGGCGACGTCTTCGTGCCACACGTTTTCGGACGTTCTGGGGTTCTCGTCGCCGCGGCCAGACGCAGCCGGATGTCAGGACCGCATCGGATCGGGCAGCACCGATACGGGGCCGAAATCGAACCGGACCGGTCGCGCCAGGATGCGCAACAACGCCCTGCACTCGCAGGCATATCTGGCTGGGCCGCACGGGATCGCCAAAAAATGGTAATCGAATCAGATGGGGCCAGCCAGAACGGGGATCGAACGGGACCGATCGAATCGCAACGGACCCCGCCAGGTCTCACGGCGAGGCTCGGGGCGTGGAGGGTCGCCTTCGTTTGCAAGGTGCCGGGCGCTCCTGTGAGACGAAGAGAGGACGAGGACAGATTCAGATGAGGATAACGCAGGGATGCGGGTCTCCTCTTCCTCCTCCTCCTCCCTCCTCCTCGCTCCTCCTCCTCCTCCCGTCTCCTCCTCCCGTCTCCTCCTCCCGTTTCCGCCTCCCGTCTCCTCCTCCTCCTCCTCCTCCTCCTCCTCCTCCCGCCTCCTCCTCCTCCTCCTCCTCCTCCTCCTCCTCCTCCTCCTCCTCCTCTGGGAGCAGACGGGCCTGGGGGACGCCCATCGGGCTCCGCGGCTGCCCCGGAGCACCCCGGGACGCTCGGGGAGCGCTCTGGGAATGCTCTGGAGCGGTACGTCCTCGCCGGAGGCCCGCAAGAGAATCGCAAACACAGTCGGGGCTGATTGGAGAGGACCCGCTAGAGGACACAGGACCTCCTCCCTCCTCCTCCTCCTTCCTCCTCCTCCTCCTCAGCCGCCGTCCCGGCTCGAGGGGCCCTGGGAGGCTACCAGGTAGCCGCGCCCCTCACTTCCGGGACTGCTGCTATACGCGCCGCTTGTTCGCAGCCGCCATAGCGCTGCCCCGCGGCCGTGCTGGCCGCCGCCGTCACGCAGGCCGGGCCTTAGAGCCTGCGTGGCACAAGCGAGCCCGAGCGGACCGCTCTCGTGCTCGCGTCCTCCTCCGCCTGGAGGCGGCGCGTCGACTGCTACAACGTCACCACAGTCGACAGCAAGTACGACGCGTCGACATGACCAAGGCTGCCCCTTCCGTCACATGGGCGCCGCCTGCTTCTCCCTGGTCCTGTTCTACCTGTTCCTGCAAGAACTGGCACGAACGTGTGGATTGTCGCCAGTGTGGCTCGCCCAAGCCCGATGCCCCGCCGTGGCGCCGCCTGCCGAGGCGCTCTGGCAGTGCCCCCCCTGCGCAGGATGGGGCGCGGGGCAAGGGCAGAGGCAAGGGCAGGGACAAGGCCGCTGGCAAGCCTCCCGCTCTTCGAGATGCACCGCCGTCGGCTGCAGGAGGCTCTGCTACCAAGGACAAGGACAAGGCCAAGGACGAGGACGAGGACAAGGCCTCCGACGAGTACCGCTCGGCGAAGGAGATCTTGCACATCCGCCCCGCGCTGCCGCAGGTGGCTCGTGGGCACCCCAGGTGGCGGCCGCCGCCTGGTCCTCAGGCGACGGACGCCGAAGTGGAGAACTACAAGGAGAAGGCCTCAGCCAGGCTGGAGGCTCTGAATGCTATCATCCTCGACCGCTTCGACGCTGGCGAGGACTACGACGATGCTGTGCTCGAGTTCGCGACCACGCTGACGATGCTGTTCTGCGCGAGAGGCGTGAAGGCCCAACTCCAGAAGCAGGAGGAGGCCTACGAGCGCGCCGAGAAACGCCTGCAGAAGGCGAACGACGTGCTGGAAGACTTGCAGACGCAGGTGAAGCAGGCCACCATGGACGTCGACCTGGCCAAGCGCGATCTCGATCACATGACCAAGACGATTGCCGAGCTGAACACCCTGATCCAGTCCGAGAACGAGGCTGCCAAGGAGGCTGCCAGGAGGGCTGCCGAGCCTGCCCCCGCAGCAACGCCTGCTGCTGGAGTGGCGCCGGTGGGTGCGGCTGGTGGTATGGCTGGTGCCGTGCCTGCTGGTGCTCCCATGTCCACGCTCGGGGCGTTGGCCGCCCACCAGACGCAGATCTCGGCGATGATGGCCCAGCTGCAGGGCTTCCAGTCCCTCATCCACCAGATGCAGTTATCGGCTGGAGGTGGTCAGAACATCCCCGTGCCGACCGCCCACGTGACCTTCTCGGCGGGGCCTGCTGGGGCTCCCGAGGCGGCGGGCAGGCCGCCTGCCGAGGCGCCCGTGGACGGCCTGGGCGGGGCGCCAGGGGTGCAGGGGCAGCCGCCTGGCCGCGCGGACGCCGACGCTGCTGGGGCAGCTGCAGCGCGTGCGGCTCCAGCGACGCCTGCTGCCGAGGAGCCCGAGGCACGTGCGAGCCGCGCGGAGGCTGGCTCGCGCTCGCCGCGGCGTTCGCCCAGTCGCGCGGCCAGCCGTGGGAGGGCAGCCCATCGCTCCCAGTCGCGCTCGGCTCCTCGTGGTGCGGCGACGGGAAACGCCTAGCGGCCGCTGCTCGCCGAGCGGTCCCCCGTCGGGCAGACCCTCCCCCCGACGAGAGAGGCCCCTCTGACCAGCGGCCGCCTCTGAGTAGCCGTGACTTCCCGTTTCATTATGTGCCTGCTGCTGTCGAGCTGCTGCGTCAGCCCTGGCCTTTTTCAGTACATCAGCTGTGTGAGGAGGCTCTGTCTGCCTACCTGCATCCAGCTACCTCCGCGGTGCTGCAGCAGCATGTGCCGTTCCTCCCCCTCCTCCCCCCCCCCGTGTCCTCGTCTATACCGATGGCACTGGCGGAGCCGATGGATCTGACATATCGTTTGTTCCTGCGTCGGCTGCGGTGATTATCTATGAATACTTTGATGGATCCAGGGCCCTTCGAGGATATATATATATATATATATATATATATATATATATATATCTGATCTGGTCCCGGAGGATGTGATGGATCTCTTCCCGTCTTCCTACCACTCTGACACTGCTGAGATTCTTGCTGCTGCATGGGCATTGGCATGAATTGCCCAGGCGGACCTGGGTACAATACCAGTTGTGCTTCGACTTGACTCTATGCGGACGCTCGGAGTTTTGATGGGCACCCAAACCTTCGAGGTCACCAACTCTGGAATGGTGTTTCTTCGGTCCCTGGTCCAGTTTCTGGCTGCAACCTGTACCATCCAGGGACAACATGTGCATAGCCACCAAGGGGAAGGGTATAACGAGCTCGCGGGTACTCTTGCACGTCTCACAGGTATGGGACTGCTGCCAGGCATGGAGTATATGTCAGCGGCGCCATTCTACTGGCGAAGCTTTTGACGACAAAACGCAATTCAAAAAATTAAACGTTTAATCGCAAAATGCTCGGTATAGCGTTGGACCAATCGCGGCTGACTGAACGCGAGAACGCGAGCGCCCGCGCGATGCTCCTCGCTGCAGACTGAAGCCCCGATGGGCACCACGATCACAGCGTTTGGCGCGAAAGGGCGCGGACCGAATTGCCTGCCAATCGCGACGTTGCGATGAGGAACCGCTGCGCCAATGACAGCGGCAGCGGTGATACATCGAACAAACACCTTGGAGCAAGTGTCATTGCGACAGCGACATCAAAGGCGCCATTACGTTCAATGACACATTGGAGGTCGCGCAACCACGCGCGAACCCCACGCGGCACTACAGCGCGCAACCGCATGACGAACGCAAACTGCACAAGCCAACGCGATGCGCGTGCCTGCGCGCGCTAACCCACAACCAGTGGCTCGCACGTGCGCGCGCGCACGTTCGAGGGCGATGGCATCGCCAGAAGTCGCGGCGCGATGGCAACTGGCTGTGCAAATTTGCAGGTCGCCAGGCGCACTTCTGAAAGTTCTTGGGGTCGCAAAACCATAATGAAAACCGCGCCGCGCATCCAAAGCGACGCGATCACGCGAGTAGGGCCGCCCGCGCACGGCAAGGCGCGAACGCTAACCCAAGCTGGAAAAAAACCAGCGAGGTATGGAATCGGATTGCAACGGGCGCTGGTTTTCAGGGCGCGCTAAAAACGCATCGCGCGTCGAAGCGCGACCGCCAACAGTCAGCTATGAGGCTGGGCACCCTCGCTGGGAACGGTCAGAACTCAAGAGCAGCGGCCAGGAATTGATGGGCGCCTCGAACGGCGCGACAACAAAAAAGCACATCCTCTCGTCGCCACACGGCGCAAGAAGCGGCGCAGTCGACCGCGCACGTCCGCACCGCGCAGATTAGCGCAAGACGCGACGCACAACGAAGGGATTGAAAGCCCGCTCGCGCGCGCACGCGCGCACGCCGCAAAGGCGGGAGCGCGCCCCCGCGGGCCTGCGCGCGTTCCGAAGGGCCGACAGCGCGCGCCAGCGCAGCATGCGCACTGGGCGTCGACCCACCGCGGAGACGACGTCGACGCAGAGGGTTCTGTGGAGCCAGAATACTTGAGCCAGAATGGTCGGATCCAAAATTGCAACAGAGGGGGGGGGCGCCGGGGGCGGCGGGGGGGGGCAGGAGCGGAGGGTCTGGCGGGGCGGGGGCCGGAGGCGCAGCGGGGGGACGCAGAGTAGAGCGCGGCGAGGGGGGGAAGGGGGTCGGATGGGGAAGGAAAGGAAGGCCGCCACCATGCTTTCGCACGCAGAGGCGCGTGAAAACGCTTCGCGCTTCGATTTGGGATTATTTCCAACGTTCTCTAAGGCGTATGACGTACTTGCAGTTCGACAGGATATGCAATCGCACCCCGTCTGGCGCGCGCAATGCGTCTGGTTAGTGTCATCGAGGCCACGGCCGTGCATAAGTGACACAACAGCCGCCCCGTCTCAACAACCATCTGTTTGATCGTTTCAACCCCCGCGCGTTCCAATCCAATGTTGG